TGGGAAGCCATAAGATGAAAGACACCGCCAGCAGTTTATATTGGGAAGACAGCGACATTTGCTACCACATCCTGTAAAATATACATACACTCCAGGATGTGACATCACAAGATCAAAGCACCGCCGTATACACTACAGGAAGTTTATCACAAAGCACGGGTTAAATTTAGTACCATGGTTAAATGAAAATTAATAAAGGTTAAATGTATGATAACATGACACAAGTGATAAGACTTTTAGTTGAAATTAATTGAGAGTTGTCCAATGGAGCATTTGCTGAAAGATGGTACTGAATTTGAGGGCTGATTTTCTTTATTATCTGCTTCACTTTTAATCTTACCGAATTCATTGGAACCAAGATCACCAAGGGTTGTTAAGATCCTTGATGTTTCCATTTCTTGCTCAAGAGACACCCTTTCATATTTGCGTAATGCTTCCAGTGACCGATGACCGGTATTTTTCTGAATGATTTTTTCTGGCAACCCAGCATTAAACATAGCTGTAGCTCCTGTGGCTCGAAGGCTGTGGTTTGTCTTCACCTTGTCAAAACCAGCTTCTGTTGACATTTCCTTCATCATGGAGGCAAGTTTATTTTTCCCAATAGGAACACAGTCAAACCATGGATGATCAGGTGAAGCAGGTGCTTTTGGTTTGGGGCGAAGGTAAAAAACATCCTTATCAATCATAGCTTCAGGCCACTTTGAAAAATAAAGATCGAGCAAAAATACCAAACAACGTGGTTCATTATCCTTGATAGCATGAATGGCAATCACTTTGTTCTCTAAATTTAGCTGTGCTACACCTCCCGAACGATTCTTTGACCCATTTTCAACATACTTATACATATCTGGACTGTGTATGCGAGTAAACTGTGACCTCTTTAAGTTACGCTGTTCCTCACCGCCTCTCAGACAACAAACCTTTCCCACATAGTAAAAAACAGCTCTTAAGAGGCCTTGAGGGCTAGACACATTCAAGATACCTCTCTCCCATAGCAGAGTTTCTTCCTCAGCAGTAACAACAGCAGTGTGACTGACATCAACTCCTACACCATTCTTATGTAACTCCCTGAAAACAGTTTCACAAGTCTTTTCAATGGCATGAAAGTGGTAATCTTTCTTATCCAAAAAGTTTGGGCATTCGGGATTAACAGAACGCATGTACCTTAAAATCCCTGCCAGGAGCTGGTGGAGCGTTCGTGGTGGGTATTGGAGGCCGTCGGCACGGCGTGCTTCTGCTATAAAAAGAGGAAACCATTGGTTGATATCATCAGGATCAGCCTTCTCCAAGATATCCACGGGGCATTTCAGTTCATCTTGGTGTTGTCGGCTATTGCGTTCGTTAAGCCACTCAATGAAACACTTTTGAGCCCACTTCGTGTTTTTCTCTGTATTTGGTGGAACAAATCCTTTTTTGATTGCATCCATTTCTTCTTCTGATTTATACACAAAACGAGACTTCGGGGCTGACAATGAAACCCTTCTTTTTTTAGGAACAGGCATGTCCTCAGCCATCTTGTCTTCTTCAATCTGACCTTTATTCATGACATGTGCTTTTTGAGCATGCGCATTGGCTGCATTTCATCTTATGGCTTCCCATTATACAAGCCATATAGAACATGACCTTTCACTCGTGATGTATCAGATATACACTCAAATGATATTCATAATCCCTCGGGCTACGCCCTCGGGATTATGAATATCATTTTCGTGTATATCTGATACATCCCTCGTGGTCATGTTCTATATATTACATATCTCACTGCACCTCAGTTGGGATTGCATGAAGTCAATGCTAAGCTCAACCATGAGCCTTACAAATGGGTAGTCAAGGTTGAAGCCACTGTAGATGAAAATGAAATTAAAAATCTGAAGCCATTTACTGTGCGAATCTTCATTGCTCCTAAGCAGCTAATGCATGAGCAGCGCCGTTACATCGAAATGGATAAATTCTTATGCACCCTTACTACAAAGTCTGCAACATTTGTCAGACTAGATGTAGAGTCCTCTGTAGCCCGCAAAGTACCTGATCCATCGGAGTATCAAGATCCACGCTGTTTATGTGGATGGCCTCAGAATATGATGATACCCAATGGTACTGAATTGGGCATTGATTATGTAGTTTTTGCTATACTCACTAATGATATCATCTCAGAGGTATGTTTATTAACTTTTTATGCAGCTTTTATTATGCATAAAGTCATTCTAGGTTTTGTAATTAACTTGGTATACTTTATTTTATGTAGGATGATACGGTATCAATGTCTTTCTGTGGAGCCAAGGATAATAAATATCCTGATCCACGTGGCATGGGATATCCATTTGATAAAGCATGGTTCAGGACCTCCTCAGAGATGCGTGAGGCTATCAAGGGGTTGGATCATGTGAAATTATCCGAATTCAAGATTTATCGTAAGACACAGCTTTACCAAGGCAGAATAGTGACAGTAGAGGGAGACATCAGTTGGGAAAATACTATTCAATATTTCTTCACACAAAATGATGCAAGTTACATGATGAAAGAGTACAAAATCGATTTGACCAAGAAAAAAGATGTGATTCGTTACCGAATGTTTATATTTGGTTTAGTGGAAGATGGTACTGTACCAGTCGATGGCAATACAAATGAAAAGAAGTCTAAGTGGAGTGATGACAAAATTACCAAGTTTGAAGCATGGATAGATGCTGACTTTCCTTGAACTAACATTTGAATATTAATAATTAATGTAATCAATAGGACGAAAACTTTTTGAAGTAGTGAATATTCTAGTTTTTGGTTTTAGGCAATTTTGTAAAATTTATCATTAAAATAATGAAAAACAGAAAAGAATAAATAAAAGACATTTAATTGCATGGGTTTAGAAAAACTATACATACAATAAATTTACAATCCTCCTTTCATCATTTGACATAGCACATCTGTTGTCTCGCTAGCCATACCATTGGTCACATCCTTTTCTGAACGTAAGAACAAGACTACTTTAAGCAATGTACCAGACTCTTCGCCACTGTCCACCCAAATGACTGTAGGCTTGGAAATGGTCTGGCTAGTGAAACTATCATATCTAATGTTTTTTCTCAGGCACTGCAAACCTGTGTGTATAAAAACTAAAGTAAAATAAAATGTTAACAATATTTCTTGGCTGTGCATTCTACAAAATTATAAATAATACTGTATAATTACCTTTTAATTGAGGCACTACTATCACTCATTAAGGTAATTGAATAAAAAATTGAATGAACAAATGTGCAGACAATGTAAGAGTGTCAGATGACATCTGTCACATACACACATCTACAATAGTAAAACACACAATGCACACATTATTACAGTGGTAACACACACAAAGCAATGATAACACACGTAACAATGTATTACACAAAAAACAATTGTAACACACAAGTAACAATGGTAATACACAAACTCATTCACAATTTTCTTGTTTCCATTGAAATAGAAATGGAGAGATAGTTGCAGCATTATCTTTGTGTGCTAATGGTATGATTACTAAAACACCCACATGGGAAAACTAACTAGCTATTATAGTCCACATCTGATTGCATATAGTCTAAAAGTGGAGGGAGGAAAATAGGTAAAAGCTAGAATACAGGTTTAAATACAGTTGCATTAACGTACAATTAAATTTGGCATTATCTCCTTGTAGGATGTGATTTTCAAAACAGAGAAAAGGTAAATAACTTTAGCAACATAGTTTCAAAAAATTATACTGACCAATAATGAAAATAAAATAACATTGTCAGGACAAACCCATTCATGCATCATAACAAATGCTTATACATATCTAATTATTAGGCCACTAGCATTAAAAATCGATATGCATAGAAGAGGATGAATTTCATTCATACATAAGTAAAAGAGGTCAGTATATCATTACATTAAGAGACACCATATCTCTTAGCAAAACAATAATAATATTCTTTGGATACATAGGTACAATGATATTATAATAGATTTTTAGTGCTAGCTACTACATGTGTATATAGTAGGGTTTCATGAAACCCATGATTATCCCTAGTCCATACTATATTCTCATAGATAATGCAATAACTTAATAAAAGGAAGGAGTGACAGCAGAGTATAGATTAGAAATAAACATGTTGTGTACATGCAATTAGTATGATGCAGTTGCTATAGTAGGGTTTAGTTTACATAAACCAAATCTATATCCCTACTTATTTCCTTGTGTAATAGATAATTAATATTATTTATAAGGGAGATGGTACAAATAGCCAGGCTAGAGTATGTACATGTATATACACTAGAACAGCATTCTATCAAGAAACAACAATGTTATCACTCATTAAGGTAATTGAATAAAAAATTGAATGAACAAATGTGCAGACAATGTAAGAGTGTCAGACCAGATGAAATCTGTTACACACACACATCTACAATAGTAAAAGACACATGCATACACAATACACACATATACAGTGGTAACACACACATAACAATGATAACACACGTAACAATGTATTGCACAAAAAAACAATTGTAACACACAAGTAACAATGGTAATACACAAACTCATTCACAATTTTTCCTGTTTCCATTGAAATAGAAATGGAGAGATAGTTGCAGCATTATCTTTGTGTGTTAATGGTATGATTACTAAAACACCCACATGGGAAAACTAACTAGCTATTATAGCCCACATCTGATTGCATATAGTCTAAAAGTGGAGGGAGAAAAATAGGTAAAAGCTAGAATACAGGTTTAAATACAGTTGCATTAACGTACAATTAAAGTTGGCATTAGTCTCCTCTGTAGGATGTGATTTTCAATACAGAGAAAAGTAAATAACTGTAGCAACATAGTTTCAAAAAATTATACTGACCAATAATGAAAAGCATCTTTCGGCAGAAGTCCAGAGAGCTAATGCTGTCAGTGTCTTTCTGGGCCATCTTCCTCTGACTTATTCTTTATCACATAGTTTATTATTATTGTTGTTACTATTGTTATTGTTATTTTTTTCTGATTATTATTGTTATTATTGTTGTTGTTGCTTGTTATTATTATTATTATTGTTATTATTATGTTATTATTTTATAATTGTTATTATTATTGTTGTTATTAATATTATTATATAAATAACATTGTCAGGACAAACCCATTCATGTATCATAACAAATGCTTATACATATCTAATTATTAGGCCACTAGCATTAAAAATCGATATGCATAGAAGAGGATGAATTTTATTCATACATAAGTGAAAGAGGTCAGTATGTCATTACATTAAGAGACACCATATCTCTTAGCAAAACAATAATATAATATTCTTTGGATACATAGGTACAATGATATTATAATAGATTTTTAGTGCTAGTTACTACATGTGTATATAGTAGGGTTTCATGAAACCCATGATTATCCCTAGTCCATACTATATTCTCATAGATAATGCAATAACTTAATAAAAGGAAGGAGTGACAGCAGAGTATAGATTAGAAATAAACATGTTGTGTACATGCAATTAGTATGATGCAGTTGCTATAGTAGGGTTTAGTTTACATAAACCAAATCTATACCCCTACCTATTTCCTTCTATAATAGATAATTAATATTATTTATAAGGGAGATGGTACAAATAGCCAGGCTAGAGTATGTACTTGCATATATACTAGAACAGCATTCTATCCGGCAAGAAACAATTAACAATGTTATGATTTTATTTGGTATCAACAATTATTTTAGTGCATGCCATAGCACTTCTGCATGCCCATAAAATTTCTGTTTTCCTTCCTTTATGATAAATTCATTTGACACTAAACATAAAACAGCTTAAAACATTCAAGGACCCATGAAATTATAAGAGATATCAAAAGAATAAAAACTATAAAAGTGCACAAATAGCTTTATAAAAACTAGTATCAGAAAAGACCCCAACAGTGCCCATGATCGCAAAATATTATAAAAAACTTCTTTGCCGTGTAAGTCCAGTGTCATACCATGTATGGTTCTAGCTAAAAGTGGTCCTTAAAGTTAGATTTTAGTGCTTAGGCTTTGGAGCTTAGTGTTAAATTTTTAGCTTTTGGGAAGCAATATTAGTCAAGGGGACCAAAATTTTACGAAGCTATGGTCTGGGGACAATCGCTTTCTGGGGGGAACCTTTTTGCCAAGGGACCTAATTTTTCAGTTGTGAGTTGTGACACATAACCACACCCATTGATCACACCCCTCTAAATAGAAATGCCAAGTGGTCCCAGCATTCAGCCGGCCCAGGATAGGCATGCAAAACTAGAGGGGTGACTATACTAAGACTTGTGGAAATTGTTAAGTTATATCAGGAACACTTACTGGCTACTGCAGAACTGTCAGATCATGGTGAATGGCTTTCATTTCTCAACTCTCATGGTTCAGTATAGATTTACTCGTAATTCTCTGCAGCCCCGCCCTTGCCATTTTCCCAAAAATGCCACAATCAAATTGAGCCTGATCTGAATAATCTGACCTGAATATCAGTGGTTGAGCTCGGAATCTTCGGATCATAGATAGAACTGGATTGAGCTTTGACTGTTTTCCTCAACTTGTGTAAGTTGGGATGGACCTGGTTTTGTCTAATAAAATAATGATGACTGATTAGCAATTAAATTGTTAAATGTTAAATGTCAGTACCGTATAGTGGGTATATTCTGTTTGAGTTTAATTTCGTCCTTTTCGTTCTCATTCCTTGTGGAACGAACATTTTCCAAACAAAAAGGGCGTTTCCTCAATGCCACGTGTGCAAAATGGCTGCTCAGAATGAAGATAAAACACTGAAATGAAAATTTCTAGAACGAACATTTTTCCAGACGAAATATACCCGCCATACGGTAATGCACCTCTTGCCATGACTGTAGCACTTAATGGCTAAAATTGTGGTTATAGCACAGAGCATGCCTAGACTGGCTGGCTAGATTCACTATCACGATAGTGAATATATTTGAAACTATCACCCAGCTCTACATGAAATAGATTTTTGAATGAATTCGTGAATTTTTTGGGCCATGAAAATTTCTCACTATACAGTAATTGATGGATGATATGAAGTTAAGTCAATTTAGATGTATTTGCAAAGTCCCTGTACTATAAGGGTCATTGGCCAAATTTTGCCAAAAATTAAAAATCAGAGAATTCTCTATTTTTCTCCAGATACATAGATGTACTTATGTTGTGTGGAAACTTTGAGCTGATTTTGATTATATTCAATTTTTTATAACTTTTTAAAGCTGCTGCCAAAGCCTCTGGTACTTTACTACAGGGTATTTGGTTAAAATTTGTCAAAACAAAAACAAGAAAATTATCTATATGTTTTCATGATGCATATACATGTTTTGTATGCTGTATATATAGAAAGTTTAAGCTGATTGCTGATTCCAATTAAAGTTAGATTTTTTACAAATTTTTAAAGTTAATAAAATCAGGCCAATATCCCTGTACCATATGGTCATGCCAAATTCCACCAAAATTGAAAAAGTCCACGGCAGAATTCTAAAATTTCCTTTTTTTCCTGATACACACACATGTACTTATGTTGTATGAAAAGTTAGAGCTGATTTCTATCAAATTAGAATTTTTCATATTAATTTTTAAAGTTGCTCCAAATTGGTACATTATGCATGTATGCATGTTTGACACCTTTATTATGATTAATTTTATTGACAAAGTCAGCCTTCATTATTAATCATTGTTTTACAGAACAACTAGTACTGAGTTCTACTGGCCCTTCAACTGATGATAGAGTTTTAAGAAGTGGTGGGTCTGGAGGAGGTCAACTCAGAGCAACTGATGATTTATTATCTCAAAAAAGAAAAAGGAAACCACTCACTAAAGAACAACTGGAAGAGAGAAGAAAGAAGGTTTGATATACCAAATGCATGTATACTATGTCCCAACTGAGTTTGGACCAAGAAAAACTGGAATAACTTTTTATAGGAATGTGGGATAAGAATGAGACTTTCACAGGTTCTTAGTCGCCCAATGCCGCTTCAGGATCTCAGGTCTTGGGTCTCTCAGCCCTTGGGAACCCTGAGAACCGGGTTCTCCCTATAAACCCAATGGCATACCAAAG